GGGGCGCGGGGCGGGGCTGCCAAGGGGCGGGGCCACGAGAAAGAGAGGCGGGGCTTCGCCTGCGGACACGCCCATCGGCAGCTCTGCGCATGTGCGTGGGGATTGCGCGCAATCTGGGCGAGTGGGTGCAGCACACGCGTGTGCAAGGCAGGGGTGGCACGCAGGGTGTGTAAGCGTTAGGTGTGCATGCTGAAACTGATTGCGGCGTCTGTGTGGGCATTGCACGAGTGTGCGTGCAAACCGGGCATTGCACGTGGGGTTTTAAAGCGTGCGTGCATGCTGTGGATGCGTGCATTGCTCGTGGACGTATGGAGCGCTATTGCGTGGTTTGTGGTGGGCGTTACACACCTGTGTGTATGCGCTGGGCGTTGCACGTCCACGCTGAGCGTTGCACACACCCACACCACGTGTCAGACTGGGATGCTGACTGCAGGCGTGCGACGTGCAGCTGGCGTGGGCCCTGCTCGTGTCCCGGGCGCGGTGTGCATGCCCTGGGTGCCCCCCACGAGCAGAGCTCGGTGTCGCTAGGTGGCAGCATGGCCCCGTGGCACGGCCCGGGGGTGACAGTGCTGTCCCCGTCCCCCGCCCTGGAGCAGCCGCCCCCCATGCGGCTGCCCCATTCTCGGGGCTGCCCGGCCGTGCTTCGCTGCGGGTACAGAGCTGAGGGCGCTGCGCCCACCCCCTCCCGTTCGTGGCTGACCCCGCGCGGAGTCTCGGCCTCGGGGAGGCCCCCCAGGGCAGCGCCCGCCTCCCATTGTCCCCAGTCATCCCAGGAATGTGGGGAGAAGCTGGGAACGGAGCCAGGGCTTGGGCCTCGCTCCTGCTCACAGCCAAAGCGCTGAACCGAGAGCCCCGGTGTGAGCCCCCCCTGCTGTCCGCACACAGCCGTGGTATCCCGCTCCTAGCTCCTAGCTCCGGCCGTGGCCCCCGCAGCTCGCTCGCTGCGTTCATCGCAGGGCTGCGGGTTACAGATTAACTCCCCTCGCCATTAAGGTGGGGCTGAAGAGGGGCCGCGGCTCCCGCAGACCTGCAAAACACTGGGGAGAAGGAGGCGGACGCGGAATCAGTGTTTTGTCCTCTCGCGGCCACCTTAGCGGAACCCGGAAGCGTCTCCATGGAGACGGGAGGAGCCTGGGCCTAGAAGGGGGAGCGATGGAGAAATACGAGCGGATCCGGGTGGTGGGGAGAGGGGCCTTCGGGTGAGGGCGGCCCCAGAGAGCACCGGGCCTGGCGGATGGGGGGGGGCCTGCTAATAGGGGGGGGGGGGGGGGGAGCAGAGCCGGGCCTGTGGCACCCCCGAGTAAGAGGCGCAGGCCCTGTTACCATGGCGACGGGGGTGCCTGGGCCTTGTTGCCGTGGCAACGCGAGGGTCAGCCGCTGTGTGGCACCCTGGGGTGGGGGCCTGGCCTTGGCTGTTGCCGTGGTGACGGGGGGGTTGGGGGGGTGTATCATACCCTACTCTGGGATGGTAACAGGCCCTGTTACCATAGTGACATGGGGAGACGGGGGCTATTCGTCACCCAGGGCTGGTGGCCAGGCCCCGTCTCTCCCTGCTGAGGCCCTGTCCCTGCAGCATCGTGCACCTGTGTCTGCGCAAGGCCGACCAGAAGCTGGTCATCCTGAAGCAGATCCCTGTGGAGCAGATGAGCAAGGATGAGCGGCTGGCGGCGCAGAACGAGTGCCAGGTCCTCAAGCTGCTCAGCCACCCCAACGTCATCGAGTACTATGAGAACTTCCTGGAGGACAAGGCTCTCATGATTGCTATGGAGTATGCTCCAGGTGGGCCCCATGCACCCTCACGCCTGGCAGTGTCTCCTCAGCAGGTCCAGGGGATGCCAGGCATTCATCTCCTCATGGATCAGGCTGCTTTGGCTCCATGTTGCGCTCTGGGTCCTCAGAGATTCAAAATAAGGCTTTCTTGAGCAGATGTGGCCATCATATTTTTTTTTGCAGAAAAGCTTCCATGGGTCCTGCTGGGCACCAAGTTGGCCATGAACCAAGTGGCTGAGCATTGGCGCAGGTAACCCAGAGAGGTGATGGAGTCTCTTTCCCTGGAGATACTCAAAGACGTCTGGACTGTTGTTTCTAGGTGGCCCTGCTTGAGCAGCAGGATGGACTTGATGATCTCCAGAGGGCCCCACCAATCTCAGCCATTCTGTGGTTTTATGTCTTGTGCCTACTCCTAACAGAAATGAAAAGATTTCTGACACACCTGCTACCATCCACCCTTGGTTTAGGTTTCACTTGTTTGTCAGCTCTTGGCCACGCTGTCAGTCCCACAGCTCTGCGTGGGAAGGTGCAATTTCTGATGAGATTTGCTATGGAGTTTAAGAGTAAGATTTGTATGAGGGCTTGTTAAAAGTTTCACAGGAGACCTGCATTTAGACCTACCCTTCTCGACAGGGGCCTCTCAGTGCCACGTGGCCTCTCGGACTGCAAGAATTCTGTTCTGCAGAACAGGCTTATCTTGTTCTGCCATCAAGGTTTGTGTCCTGACAGGGCTCCAGGACCTGTAATTTTAGCGTTCCTTTTTCCTGCTGCCTTTGACAATATGTCAACAGCAACTTCTTTCTCCCTGTGCCTTCGTCCCACCAACTGTGCTGCCATTGTTCTCTGCATAGTCTCAGGAGCACTGGAGGACGTGCTTTGTGTCCCACCGTGACATGCTCTTTCCCATGCACTTGTCTTGTTAAGATGCTGCAGCTAAATCCCTTTATTTTGAGGCTGAGATCGTGCTGCCCTGTGCAGCCACCCTTGCTGATATCCCTTTGTTGTTCTTTGCAGGAGGCACGCTGGCAGAGTTTATTCATAAACGCTGCAACTCCTTGCTGGATGAGGACACCATCCTACACTTCTTCGTGCAGATCCTCCTGGCTCTTCACCACGTGCACACCAAGCAGATCCTGCACCGTGACCTGAAGACTCAGAACATCCTCTTGGACAAGCATCGCATGATTGTCAAGATTGGAGACTTTGGCATTTCCAAAATCTTGAGCAGCAAGAGTAAAGCCTACACGGTGGGTGGCCCAGCTTTGCAGGGGAGCTACTTACCACCATGGCAGCAGGCTGGAAACACTGGTCTTGGCTCCATGAAAGTCTCTGGAAAGCAGCTGTGGGCAGCAAGGTTGGAAGTGGCCTACTCTCAGTAGGCTGCATCTGTATGACACGGTGCTGCTTTGTTACCAAGGCCTCCAGAAAGGCAAATCATCGTGGTTTTTACTGAGACTGTCAGCCACACAAACACACAGCTCCCCTAAGCTTTGGTTGGTTGTGCTCCGGGCTGTAAACTGAGCCTTCCTCCTTCCTCCTTCTTACCTTTCACGGCTTCATGGTAGATTTATCTGTCTCATCTAGGTTGTGGGAACTCCGTGCTACATCTCCCCAGAGCTCTGTGAAGGGAAGCCTTACAACCAGAAGAGTGATATCTGGGCTTTGGGCTGTGTGCTCTATGAACTTACCAGCCTCAAGAGGGCTTTTGAAGCTGCGGTAAGACAAGACAGAGTTTACATGTAGTGCAGAGAACTGTGGTCTCTTTCAGAGGCGAAAATACGTGCTTGGATCACTCCTCTCTGAGCCTGAAGGTGTGAAGGCAGAGGGCAGCACTGAAGACATCTTGCCCCTTGGTCTTGCTTCTGATTTCCCAGCCATTGTATCTCTCTCTTTTGTTTTCTGTTCAGAATCTTCCTGCCTTAGTATTGAAGATCATGAGCGGGACGTTTGCCCCAATATCAGATAGATACAGCCCTGACCTGCGCCAGCTCATCCTTAGTATGCTGAACCTGGATCCTTCCAAGCGGCCTCAGCTGAATGAGATTATGGCCCAGTCCATCTGCATTCGCCCCCTTCTGAACCTCTACACCGATGTAGGAAGTGTTAAAATGAGAAGGCAAGTGATACTGCCACACTTGTCTCCCTTGGGAGGGACTGCCACGGCTCACAACACGTCAGACCAGCTCACTGTCTATGCTGTAAACTCCAAATAGAGTGCTGACCCTATGCTGGGTTACCAAATGTGCAGCTGCTGCAAGCTGAGCCTGGCCCTGTGGCTTGTGGCTGCAGCAGGTGTGGGCAGCAGTAAGCTGCAAAAGGAGAGTTGTGAGCTCAGGGGGAAGAAAATTGACACCAACTTCCCTTTCTCAGGTGGTTTAAATCACCTGCCAAAGGCAGTTCTGTAAGTTGGTCAGCTGTGGCTTTGCTGTAGCTCTGCCTGGTTCTGCAATACAGGGCTCTGCAGGACCTCTGGGCCGAGCTGACAGTAAGGACTGGATTTTGGTTTGGCAGGCCTGAAAAGCCCTTGGCTCCAGTGCAAACAGTGACACACAGCCGGACGGGGGGACGAGTGAGCAGTGCCAGGCCCAGGGGTGAGTGCTGACACAGGGCCTTCAACACAACTCCCATTTGGAAGTACCCTCTCCGTTGGATGACAGGGAGTTGGAGAGGTGTTTGGAGAGAAGAAGTTGAGAAATATTGCCTTCCATGAGCACTGGAGGAGCCCCCAGGGACCTCAGATCCGGGGACCAAACAGCAGTCTTTCTCCAGCTGCTTCTTTAAGGTTTTGACCCTTTGAATCAAGTTTCTGCAGTTTCTACTGTAAAGGCTGGGAACGAGCTGAGGAGGGTGCCAAGGGAGAACCTCTCTGAGCAGGGCAGTGCAGCTGGCATCGGTTAACAATTAGCTAGAGTTGTTGTAATGCTGCTCCCCTCAGCTCTGGGATAAAACACAAGGGGCTGTTCCTTCAGCCCTGGCACTGAGCTCCCCAGCAGTCTTGTGCCAGCCTTGGACCTGTGCTCTGAGCTGGCCTGGCCCTGCTGGCAGCCCAGCAGCTGCGCTGGCACCCAGCAGGATGGTGGCTTTATCTTTCTGTGGGAGGACAGTTAGCAATCTGCTCTGATTCCTGTTTGACCCACAGGTGTTCGAGGTGGCTCAGCCAGGACAGGCATCCCTCCTCCCCTGTCGTCCATCTACACGTGGGGCAGTGGGATCACCACCCCGCTCCGTCTGCCCATGCTGAACACCGAAGTGGTGCAGGTGTCTGCTGGCAGGACACAGAAGGCTGGGGTCACCAAATCGGGGAGGCTCATCATGTGGGAGGTGAGTAATGGGGGACGTGGGACAGGCAGCTGTGGGAAGGTGTTTATCTTAGTTCTCACACGCGGCCCTTGCTGCACCGAGGCACAGGAGCTGGTCTGTTTCTCTCCTCCAGGCTCCCCCGATGGGTGCTGCAGGAGGCCCTTCTCTGCCAGGAGCCACTGAGCAGCTGCAGCCTCAGTTTGTGTCCCGCTTTCTGGAGGGCCAGTCTGGTGTGACCATCAAACATGTGTCCTGCGGGGATCTCTTCACTGCCTGCCTCACAGGTGAGCTGCTGCCTTGGGAAGTTGTGGAAGTGTCCCAGTGTGACAGCCTGGGATATCTGTTCAAAGAGGAACCTGAGAGATGCACTGGGCTGAGATGAAGTGAAGACCTCTGTGGCTTGCAGGCATGATGCCATGCTGCTCAGCTGGGTCACAAAGGTCAGTCTGGTGTGGGCAAGGCATAGACAGACACCTTCTGTCTCTTGTCCTGCTAGCAGTGGTGTCACTTGAAGCCAGAACTGGCTTGCACAGTGGGGCCTGCAGTGCAAGGAACGTTTGGGAGACTCAAACTTTCTCTGTCACATACTCTGTGTGACATGAACAGTGATTAATGGTGACTGGCACTGCAGCAAGAAGGCAGCATGAATGGGTGCCTATGAGCTCCTGCAGCCTCTGCTGCAGGAAGGCAGGGTCTGAAGCCCTTGAAGAGCGGGCCAGAAGCTGGCTGGGAGCAGAGTACGTACACAAGCCCAAGGCTGTGCTTGGAGAGCAAAGCCCTCCCAGGGGTCCTTTGGGAGCCCTGTTTGCCCTTCTGCTGGAGGTCGGGGCAGTAAATGACAGATATGCAGATGGCAGACTTCATAGGTGTCTGTTTGTCCTTCCTCTGCATGGCATTTCCTGCCGCTGCTCTGCTGGACGGCTGCTTGCTGAGCACCCCATGTATTGAGCACCTTGACAGACTGTGGAGTTTGCAGCTCCTGCGTACACAGCTGCCATAATGTTATCACAGGCCTTTCCTGTTATCAACTGATGTTTGTTTGGTGAGGCGTTGTGGTGCATCGAGGCTGCTGCTCTCTGGAAGTTTGTTGAAGGCCTTGGGGGGCCCCCCAGCAAGTTATGAGTCACAGTGGGGCCAGGCAGAGCCTGTCCTGGGATCCATGGCCAGCCCTGTGGGCTGTGTGTGTGCCTCGTGGGGCGTCACGTGTGCCAGTAACACGACTTCTTTCTGCCTTTCCAGACAGGGGGATCATCATGACTTTTGGCAGTGGCAGTAACGGCTGTTTAGGGCACGGAAACTTCACGGATGTCAGCCAGGTTTGTTGTGAGGGTGCTGGGCCTGCTGCTCCCCCAGAGTCAGGATGGATTGTGCTTTAACCGCCACGTGAGGCAGCTCGTCCCAGCTCCAGGGTGTGCATCCCAGGCGTGCTCTGGCATCCGACCCCCCTCCCCCTTCTCTCCCTATCACTGCAGGTTTTAAAAGGCCCAACCTGCCTCTCTCTTTCTCTCTCTCCCCCCCCCACACACACAATGATCCCTTTGAGTGTGGGGGAAGTCAAGAGCTGCCTTGTGGTTGCTGTTGGCAGGCTCCCAGCTTGGAGCCTGCCTCCAATCACACACCTGCCTGCTTCACTCTTGGCCTGCAGCTGCCGGGGTTCACTGAGAAAAGTTATTTTTCAAAAGAGCCAGTATTTAAAGAAGAGCTGTGTGCTTCCGATTGGCTTGGAGCAGCAGGGCTGAGAGCCCGTTGCTCCTTTCCAGCTTCTTCCTCTCCTGCCCTCGGATGTGACAGCAGCCAATGGCTGCCAGCTGAAGCCTAGGGACTGGTGCCATTTGTTTCTGTGGTCAGCTGGCTCATTTGTGCCTGCACTGTCCAGAGCAGCTCAGTGTTTAATGCTGGGGGACACCAACTGGGAGTTGCAGCCAAGTCCCAGCAAACGGCGCTTTTCACTTGAAGCACATAATGAGATTGAGGCTCGATGTGGCGAGGTGTCAGATTTAACAGCAGGTCACAGCAGGGGCTGGGCACAGCGTGGCCACACCCTAACGAATGTGTAGCTGGTGGCTCACAGCTCCTCTGCGTGAGAGGAGCCAAATGCATCCTGCACCAAGCCCCTGCCTGCTCAGAGCGTGCGTTAACCGCCCCTGGCACTCCCCCAATGGGCAGGGGGGCAAATCCCAACCCTTCAGCTCTCCATACCATGGTGCTGGCTGCTTTCTTCCACCCTAGAGATGTTTGCATTATCTTTTGTGCTGCGTGCACGTAGAGTCTTTAAAAAAAAAAACCCAACCCTTTGAAGACTGTTCAGAACAAAAAATTCTCTGGTGTTTGTGTTGGATGAAAACTGGGATGCTGCCAGTGTTGTGCTGCGCTGGGGGGGGCAGGGTGGGAGGGATGGGAGCAGGCAGGCGGGCTGGGAGGTCTCGGCTAACGGCTGCTGCTCTTCCCCTGCCAGCCCAAGATTGTGGAGGCCCTGCTGGGCTACGAGATGGTGCAGGTGGCCTGTGGTGCATCTCACGTCCTGGCAGTTTCCAATGAACGGGAGGTGTTTGCCTGGGGCAGAGGGGATAATGGTAAGAGATGTCTGCTTAGCAGAACAGGGCTAATGCTTTCCATCACCTGTTTCCATGCTTCTTGCTGGCCCTACTTGCCTGTGACTCTCTCCAGATGTGCCAGGCTCGGTGGGTCCCTGCCACTTCAGTGCAGATCAGGTCCCTGCGCTTTGGGTTTTGCTGCCTTTCGTGGTGGCAGGTCCCAGAATGAGTTCTTGGAGACAGCTTTGTGTTTTTCCTGCCAGGTCGGCTTGGGCTGGGTACCCTGGAGTGCCATAACTCCCCCCAGCAGGTAGCAGTCCCAGCAGAGCATGAGGCACAGAGGGTGATCTGCGGCATCGATTCCTCCATGGTCCTCACAGTGAAGAACCAGATTCTTGCTTGTGGGAGCAACAGGTAGGGGAAATGAGGATCTGTGAGAGCTCAGAGCCTGCCTGCAGCTTCCCCAGACCCCTCCTGTGTCTGTCACTGAAGCAGGAGTGAGAGTCTCTAGAAGACATTTCTGTGAGATCCTGCTCGTTGCTGGGGGTGTAGCTTTGCTAAGGCAGGATTTGATGTTGGATTCAGCCAGTTCTGAGCCATGCTTTTTTCTTTGCAGGTGTAACAAGCTGGGCCTAGATCGGATCAGCTCAGCAGAGGAACCTTCCCCAGAGGAGCAGGTAGAGGAGGCCACCGTGTTCACGTGTGCCCAGTCAGCCCCCTTGAACCAAGAGCCAGTTGTGTGTGCTGATATCGGCACAGCACACTCAGCTGCAGTCACAGGTGTGTGCCCAGATCCCTGAGAAGGGACTGCATTTTCTCCCTCCTCCTCCTGCTTCCCTTTGCTGTAGGTAAAGAGCTGAGAGAGGCTCAGTACACCCTGCTCACAGTTTTGGAGCACTGTGGAGCAGGATGCTCAGCGTGATAGGGAGCAAAGGGGTTTCTGTGCATCCTTGGGTGACATACGGTTGTTTCTCTCATCTCTCATCAGCTTCTGGCCACTGTTACACCTTTGGGAGCAACCAACACGGGCAGCTGGGCACCAACTCCTGCCGCAACAGTCGTGTGCCCCACCTGGTTGTGGGGCTCCAGGCCATGAAGGTTGCTGTGGTAGCTTGTGGGGATGCCTTCACTGTGGCTATTGGAGCAGGTGAGGTTGAAGCTCCCGCGTCCTGGTGAGGGCTGCAGGAGCTGTGTGTGCAGCAAGCTGTGTCCCTCTGCAGATGGTGAGGTGTGCACCTGGGGGAAAGGAGCCAGGGGACGTTTGGGCAGGAAGGATGAGGAGACAGGAACGCCACGGCCTGTGCAGCTGGAGGAGACACATCCATACGTGGTGACCTCTGTAGCCTGCTGCCATGGGAACACGCTGCTGGCTGTAAAGCGTGAGTAGGGGGCTCTGCTACTGGGATTCCTGCTGTGAGGTCCCAGCCGGAGATGATGCTGTACTGAGTAACCCTGGCACACAAGCTATGTGTTATTCTAGTCCATCTAGAGCTGTAGATGAGCAGAAATAACTTGAAGCACATCAACATTCCCCTTCTGCTACACAGGGCTGTGACACTGCCTCTTCCACTGCCCTGGGGGAGCAGAGAGGCAGGCTCACACGCTACCAGACGATGGGGGGTGGCCAGACTGCAGCTGGTGGGGAGCTGAGATGCTGACTGTCCAGCGAGTAGCCAAAAAGAGCAGCTCTCTAATTGCTGCTGCTGAAATAGAAGCTGAGATTTGAGGCGTCATTTTGGCTGCTGGCTCTCCGTTGTGGTTTGGAAAAGATAGCCATGGTTTTGTGGTTCCTCTCTGCTCGGGCCAAAAGTAGCATCCTTGCGTGGTTAAAACGTGCCCATGGCGTGACCTGCCCTTCCGTTGCCTGGGTGTGAGATGGGAGCCTGGCCCAGACTGCTGGAGGGGGGCCTTTCTTCCTCCTCTGTTGGTCTGATTATGGCCTCTGCACTGGGCTGTGGGATTCCAGTCCCAGCCCACTTCAAGGAGGTTAATTACGCCCTGCAGGGGAGGAGGCCCGGCTGACTGCCCCAGCACAGTGAAATCGGCCCTGCTGAGCCCTCACGTGATGTGAGCTGCCACGGAGGGGACAGGGAAAGGCAGAGTCTTGGGGCAGGGTGTTTGTTGTGGGAATAAAAGTGTTTTGTTCTTGCAGGAAGGCTGCGGGCTGCAGTCCCCTTCTGCTGCTGGAGTGGCTCCGCAGCTGGGCTGTGAGCTCCCACCTGCAGCCCTGCAGAAGCAGAGCTCCAAGTTCTCATATTGGGCTTCCACACAGCTCAGTCTGCCTGGAAACCTCTCCAGAGAGAGCATGAGCTGGTGGCTGGTGACACGTTTGGTCTTACTGCCACTTTGAGCACCGACCAGGAGCTGGCAGGGAGTGCTGGCACTGGGAGCTGAGCTCCACCTTTGGGGCTGCAGGGCACTTTCCTCCCGTGCAGCCAAGCACTGTTTGTGAGTGGCTTGGACTGGTGCCCTCTTTATCGTGGGGCCACTGCTGCACCTTTTTCTCAACCCCACTGCAAACACAGGCCTGGAATAGTTGGGAGAAGCTGGAGAGGAGAAGGACGGTGCAAAACCCCGAGATATTTTAATCCCTCCTGCTTGTGCTCTGTGGTGGTGTTTGGTTGTTTTTTGATGCTGCCACAGGGGCAACAGGACAGAGATTGCATTGCTCATCTGTTCCTGCCTTTTGTGTTTCAGCTGCCGTGGAAGAGTCACCACCTCAGTGAGAGGGATGGCATCCAGCCTTGCCATACAGCTGCAGGCTCCTATGGCTGCACCTACTCCCCAGATTCTGCTGCACAACTGGGAGCTCTCAGCTCTCGTGGGTCAGTGAGGTTTGCTGTGGCCCTGAAGTGCCTGTGTTCGGTGGGTCTCTGGGCTGTTGGAAGGTGCAGAAGGGCTCTCCTCTGCCGCTGGTGATGAGCACAGAGGTTGTTTTTCCCCGTGGAAACTCTCTGGTTACAAAGCCCAGGCTGACAGCTCGCTGTCTGAGAGAGCTGTCAGCCTTTGCAGAAGCGTCTGGAGTTACAGCCCCAGGCGCTGTGCTGGGTGACTAAGAGCAAACCTCTTTTCTAATTAGACAAACCAGTCCTTTCCCATCCCCCCTGCAAGCATTTTGCCCATTTGTTGAGCTGTTCATCACTCTTCCAAGGTCCTGCCCTGCACGGCTGGCCTAACACCAGGCGAGCAGCCTCTCGCTTGTGCAGCACGGCCGCTCCCCCAGTGCTGCCTGGGGCTCTCCAATTACAGCCTCCTGCAGCCCCAGGAGCCCAGCTGAGCATCCTCCAGCTGATGTTTGTCCTCAGGCCCCTTAAATCCTGCTGCTGCCTGGCTCCAGGCCCAGCGAGTGCAAGGCAGCAAAACGCAGCGAGCGCTTGCCTCTAATTGAAGTTTTTGAACCCAGATCTCAACAGGGAGATGATGAGTTTCCACCAGGGATCCTTTCTGCAGGCAGGAGGGGGCATATCACTGTACCACAGCCAGGAGTTACCTTTTTTTAATCACCAGAAGGGTCGTTTCCTATCTTGTTTTTATTCCCCCCACCCCTTTACTGTATATATATTTTTTAACATCTGCCCCGGGCCATTTTCTGATGAGTTTCTGTCTCTGATCTGACATTGCCTTTCACATCCATCTTTGTGCCGCTGCCAATCCGTTGTGTATAAAGTCAGTGCTTTCATAAGCTGGCTGAGATGGAATCTCTCTAATTATTTTTGTGATCCTTTCCTGTCTTCAGTGAGGGAAACCTTGTCAAGCTCTGGTAGGTGCCGACCGATCCCTCTGTCATGTGGAAGGTAATGAATTTCTGCAGCTCTCCTGCTCTCTCTGCCTCCCAGGCTCTGGCTGGGAAGAGAGCAGGTCCTGTCCGGCCAGGAAAGGCGTGTGCAGCCCTGGCTGCAGACACGGCCTCCCTCTTTGGCTCCTGGCTGGGTGGGTGAATGGGTTTTTCCCTGCCTCTTTGTTTCTGGTGGAGCTGCCTTTTCAGGTGGTTACACCCTGCTATCCCAGAAAGCTGACGTGTGTTCAAAGGCTCTGCCAGTCCCTTGGCACTCGCCTTGTGCTCCGGCTTACAGGGAAAGGTGTTCCAGCTTCCAGACCCACCTGGGGACCAGGACAACTGCAGGGCCGGGTGAAATTCCCTCTGAACTCTCGCCTTTTCTCCCCGTGCTGAGCTGTGAGCACCACCAACTCCTACAGAAACAGATCCCTCTTGGCTGTGCTGCGTTCAGCCTCTCGTGGGGCTCCCCCACGTGCAAATACAGCCCAAGACCAGCAGGCTCCTGCTCCAGCCTCCCCGGGGCCGGCAGGTGGCTGGGACACAAATCCCTGCCCCCTTTTGCCCCGTCAATGGGGCGGCATCAACGTACCGCCGCCCCACGGCTGCCAAAGCAGGGCTGAGCCCCCCGTCTTCACCGCCGCGCTGACAGCAAAGGCTTGTTTTACGGCTTCGCAGCGCTCTGCTGGGGCTGGAGGTGGCACCGGCTCAGCTATTGGCACCTTTCACCTCGGGGAAAGGGGAGAAGCAGCCCAGCTTTGTGCCGGGCCGGGGTTTTGCCACGAGGGCTGCAGCCCTGGGGATTTCGCTTCGGCTGCGGAGCCCGGCGAGATGATTTGAATAATTTAATAGCGGGCTGCGACCGAGCCTGGCGAAAGGGTAAAGGAAACAAAGAGGCCCCCGGCCCCGAGCAACAATAGCTCTCGAAACGACAAGCAGAGGCACGTCCGTGTGCCGCAGGCAGCAGCAGCCCCAGCGAATGGGCCGGTTGCATTCCTCACGTCGGCTGCTTTGTTTCCCTGCAGCCGCTCCTGGTGAAAACTCGGAATCGGGGCTTCTCCCTTCTTGAGCCTCGTTTTGTCGCAGGAAACGACGCGCAGAGCTCGGATCTTCGTGCTGACGGAGCAGCGATGCGCCGGGCTGAGAATCCCTGCTCCGTGCAGCCCCAGCAGCGAGAGGTCTGCTGGTTTTCCTGCGGGAAAAGGCTGAGGGCGGCGTGCAGGCAGGATCCACGGGCTGCTCGTTCCCGTGCCTGATAAGATTACACGTCCCGCTGACCTCGGGCCGTTGCTGTCAGCAGGAAACAGCCCAAACCTCCTGCTGATCCCTCAGCTGATTTCGTTTGGTTGTGGCACCCCTCTGTTGCTCCCGGCCCCGTTCCCACGAGGCTTTGCAGAAGGGCGGCTTCTGTCCATCCAGCCTCTCCCCCTATGCTCTTCTGCAGGAAAAAGTCCCCCAAAAACAGGGAGGGAGCTTTCCCAGCACCCCTTTCCACCTCAGCTTTGGAAGCGTTGCTTTTCCATCCCCTGATTTATGCGAACCCAGGCACAGGGATGCTGCTGCAGGAAGCCCAGACGGGTTTGGGGACGGACCTGTCACCGGGGATGGGCGACAAATTGCTTCTACAAAGCTGAGCGCCCTGCCCGGAGGTGGAGTGGCAGCAGAGTGCGAGGCAAACGCCCGGCTGTCACGGCGAGCGAGGGGAGAGGGGGAAATGAGGGGATCTTTGTTTGCAGGGTCTGACACCTCGGTGCCGTCCTGCTGGCACCCGCAGCGCCTTCGGATGGCTTTGTCAGCTCCGGGCTAATTAGGCTGAGGCGCTCTTGAAGCGAGGTTAGAAAAGGAAAAACTTCAAAGAGACGGAGCTCATAAAGCCTGGCGGGGGGAGCAGAGCCCCACGGCCCCGTATGGAGCGTGGTTCTGAGTCCTGCCTCGGGCTCTGGGCAAACCCAGCTGGGACAAAGGCCGTCCTGCGCTGCCAGTGGGGGTTTTACCGTCTGCTGGGTGAGCGACAAGGGGGAGAGGCTGAGCTCTTCCTCCTCCTCCTCCTCCTCCTCCACGTGTGAATGGAAATCTGCCAGCACGTGTGGCCGTGCTGCTGCCCCTGCGGGGGCTGGGAGGGATGAACGCATGCTGGCAGCCCGTCAGCTGGTGCTGCTCATCTCTGGGGAAAAGGGGCGAACGTTTCCATATGCTGCTCAGCTCCGAGAGGGCGAGGAGGGGGCTGGGACAGATCTCCCTTTATTCTGCATCCCACCCCGCCTCACCCCATTCTGTCTCTCCCTAGCCGCTCTCTTATCTCCTCCTATCCCACTGCATCCTATAAGACCCCATCTCATCTCCCCCCACGCCGCCCCACTCTATTCCATACCATCTCATCCTATCCCGCTCCATCCCATTCCATTTCACCCCATCCCACACAGCCATACAACCTTCCCAGGTCATCCCATCCAACCCCATCTCCTCTTGCCCCATCCTATCCCACTCTATCCTATACAATCCCATCTCACTCCTCCCCATTCACCCCCATCCCACTCCACTCGCCTCCATCCCGTTTTCCCCCATCCCATCCAACCTCTCCTATCCCCCATCAGGGCAGCCCCGGCCGCAGCCCCACGCGGTGCCCCTGACCCCCGTTCTCTCCCCGCCCGTCGTGCGGGATTCGGGGCGGTTTCGCTGCGGTTGTCGCCGCCCCGGGGCGGAGTCGGCTCCGGGCAGCAGAGCGGTGCTCGTCGCGGGGCCGGGAGCGGTGCGCGATGCCGGGCTACGACTACAAACTGCTGGAGCGACCGCGGCGGAGAGTGCTGTGCCCGCTGTGCGGGAAGCCCATGCGGGAACCCGTGCGGGTCTCCACCTGCGGACACCGCTTCTGTGACACCTGCCTGCAGGAGTTCCTCAGGTGAGCCCCTTTACCCCCTCCCCCCCCCCCGACGCTGAAACCATCCCTCCCCGACGTCACGTAGGGAAGCCTTTGGGTGCTGCCGGGGTTTGCAGGGTTGGAGGGAGACGGGGGAATTCGTGGGTGCCCCCCATGCGTGACAGCTTCTTTCGGGCTCGGAGGAGGAGGAGGAGGCGGCCGAGCCCGCCGTCTTCCTGCCGGGGCCACGCAGGAAGGAAGCGGTGGGGCCCCCCCATCCCACAACCCCCGAACCTTACGGCTGTGTTTGGGGGGGATCCGCGCGTGGAGCGGCCCTTTCCCCGCGTTCCGCCGCCTCCGGTTCAGCCTCGCCCCGCACCGACGACCTTTGCACGGGGGGGGGCGGGGGGGGGGGGGGGACACGGTGGTTTCTGCGAAACCGGGCGTTCCCGGGGCCGATGCCAGGCTGAGCCGCGCCGCGCTCCCACCCGCGGCCGTGGGGATCCGGGGACGGACGGCGGGAGACCCCCACGGTGCAGCCGGGAGAGGATTGGGCGGTTGGGGGGGGGCACCTTCTCGACGTGAAGGTCAGAGGGAAGGACGGTGCCGCCGGCGCTGCCTCAGCACATTCCCTGCCCGGTGGAGCGTGAGCAACGGGGCGGCCGCGTCGGGGATTGCGCCCGGACCCCCGGCCCGTTTGGGATCGTGGCCCCCCCCCCCCCCAAGGGGGCCCGGGGCGGGGCGGCGCCGGCCCCCCAGCGCCCCCCGGCCCCCGGCGGGGGGGCGGGGGGGGGGGGAGGTGAGGGGGGAGCAGCCATGGGGGTGTCACTGTGTGCACTGCCAATCCAGTGCTGTGTACCGGGTGGCACCGTGGGGTTGGTCACTGCTGCATCTTGGCAGCCCCATTCGTGCCAAGGGCACATGGAGTGGTCTGATATGAGGGGGAGGGGGGACTTTGTGTCCCCAGCCACCAGAACCAGGGTCCTGGCTGCGCATCCCCATGGGCAGTGCCCGAAGGTGCCACAACAGTGGCTCCCGGCCAGCTGTGCCAGGTCACCCGTTCAGCTTTGTCCCCATTCCCCACCCCATGCCATCCCTCTGTGGGTCACGGTGACGTCGGGGCGGTGTTCACCAGCTGTGTCTCAGTGATGACTTTGAAATGTGGCACTCATCCCATTGGGGGGCATCGCTCTGTCCCACTGGGGTGCTCCCAGCATGCTGGGGACCCTGCTCCACGCACGTTCCCCTCCGCCCCACCTCTCCGGGGCCATTTCCTGGTGAGCAGCTTCCTATGGGGCCTTGCATCCGTGCTGCACATCTGGCGCCCAGCTGTTGGCCCCCAGCTCATGGGGCAGCCCCACCGGCCCCATCCCGGGGCGTGTGAAGGGGCTCCAGATGGTGCCGTGCCCCCGGGGGGGGGGTGTCTGGCGGGGGCATTTCCCAGCCCCGACAGATGGAGTGGCCGCCGCCAGGATTAGGGCTCCCTGAGGGCTGGATTTGGCACACCGGGGGGCTCCATGGATGTGTCAGCCCTCATCTCCGACTCCTCTCTCTTTCTCCTGCAGCGAAGGCGTCTTTAAGTGCCCCGAGGATCAGCTGCCCCTGGACTACGCCAAGGTGAGCCCAACAGGGATGTCCCCCTGCCCCACTGTGGCTCTTTGCCACACTGTGGCCTGGTGCCTGGCACGGCGCTGCCGTGGATCAACAGCTCTTTGTGCTGCGCAATGGGAAACGGAAACCCGCTGCCGACAAAGGGCGCTTGTTGGAGTGCTGGCTGGGGGGATTCTGGCCCTGGGCACTGTGCCCACAGCTCGCTCACCCCTCCCTCCCCCCCCCCTTCCCCCACCTACCTCTAGATCTACCCCGACCCTGAGCTGGAAGCCCAAGTGCTGAGCTTGGCCATCCGCTGCATCCACAGCGAGGAGGGCTGTCGTTGGAGCGGGCTGATCCGACACCTGCAGGTAGGGTAGCGGGCAGGGACCCCCCCC